TTGTATACATGTATCTCTAACGACTGACACTGAGAGCACGAATTTAAGCTTATTTATTATAGCGCTTTTCGAAGGTTGGAGAACTCCTGATAGCAGCTCATGTTTTGGCAGTCATAATAATTTGTTGTTTTGTTGACTTGTAAAAATCTCGCTAGTCAAAGTTTATTCGTCGTTTCCTTTTGTCTTTCGTGTTTGTACTTAATGTTATATGTTATGCTCACAAGGAGAGCGTCGAGATAAAAGAAATTAAATAAATCAATTTGAAACGTAAAAGCCGTTTAGGACCTGGTACAGGTGGAGGTGGTTAATTAAATTACTAAGTAAATGAGAAATTAAATAATTTTTCAGAATTTAACGACTAAATTATCTGGATCATTAAAAAATATGATAAACGCCTGTACGCTCAAGAGTTCAAATTTCAAACATATTATTATTGAAAAAAAAAATATTGTACTAAAGTTCATAATCATATCACTCACACGCTAAAGCGTTTCTATCTTTGTTACTCATTATATGTCAAAGAAAGTCGCTTTCAATGTGTGAGAGTTGAAAGCGATGCAGCCGAACTTGATTGTAGACGTGGTGGGGCGATGATTGGAGTGGGGGTATGCCCGCCGGCCGGGCGCCCGCGGGCGCCCGCGGGCGCCCGTTGCCCGCGGGCAGCATTTTGCCCACCCCTGAATTGTAAGATACAGAATTGAATTACAGATTTAAGACTTCGCAACTCGGAATGTTCGATTCCTCCAAAAGAATCGATTTATGAATCGATCTTGAATTGGTGTCTCAAGAATCAATCTAAAAAATCGTTAAAATTTCAAATTATTAATTATTGTGAAAAGGGTGTTTTTAATTTTGTTGGCACGTCGAGGAATTTTGAATTCGCGGGTATTAGGCAGGTTGGTATGTTTGACGAGTTGGTGTGCGTGATGGATTGGCTGGACTGGTGCATTGGTATGAGTGCAGGATGAGAGAGAGAGAGAGAGAAAGAGAGAGACTTGTGCCGGCCATTGTAAGAGACAGGCGTGCTTGTACCAGATCTAATAAATCGGTTTTCTCAATAACTCAGTAAGTCTTATTTACGCGAGAAGACGGGCGTTGCCTGCAGAGCTCTGCACGGCGGCGATATCGTTAGGGTGTCGAGAAATCGGCATTCATAACACCACGAAAATACATGGTCCTTCGAGCCGGATGCGTCCGGGAAAGGCAGATCGAGCAAGAGGCGAGATCTGTAATCGCAAGGGGAAGCCGAATCTTGCAAGAGGTCTGGTGAGCAGCGGCTAATACGGAAGAAAGGAATCAGAAGGTGAAGCGAAGGCAAACGCAGTTGCAACGGCCAAGCCAAGGGTCGAGGAGACGCCGAGACGAGTCCATTAACGAAGCGGGACGAGTCCATTGGTCCAACGAGGCAGTCCACTGGTCCAACGAGGCAGTCCATTGTTCCAGCGGGGCAGTCCATTTTCCGGCGGGGCGAGGACATCGCAGTGAAGCAGCGTCGCTCGGTCCGAGGATACCGCGGCAGGGATACACCGTGCCGGGAAGCATACGGCGGCCAAGAAGCAGGATCTCAGTCGATACGTATTGCGCGAACATTAGAGATTGTAACGCGAAGAAGCGATTATTTACATTTGTACTTAGGTTATTGGCGTCATGACAAAGGTAGATGAAAGCGCGTCAGTAAAGTTCGGGCCTAAGAAGCGGGCGGCCAAGGCCACGTTGACTAGGTTTGAAACATACATTACGGATACGGAACTCGATGCGATCGAAATTGACGAATTAAAGATTAGAGTTGCGAGATTCGAAGAAGCTTATGAAACATTTAAGGATATGCAGATCGAGATAGCTGCTAGTGATAATACGATTTCGGTGCAAGAGTTGGATGCAGAGGCAGAAAGCGTTGAGAATAAGTACATTAGATTAAAAGTGGCAGCCGAAAGAATAATAAAGGAAAAATTAAAGATTGACGGCAACCATGAAGACGCGGAACAAACGGTCGTAGAAGCGCGTGTCAACATAGAGAATATAGAAACGCGTGTCAACATAGATAATCACGAAAGGGTACCTGTACCGGCATACAATGCACATGTAAGATTGCCTAGAATCGAATTACCCACGTTTGCGGGTGCATACGCCGATTGGCACGCGTTCTATGACATGTTTAACTCCATAATACATTCGAATCGAGATCTGAGCGACACTCAAAAATTTCATTACTTGAGATCGTCGCTAAAGGGTGAAGCATCCGAAGTCGTGTCGTCACTAGAAATTTCGGGGAACAATTACGCGGACGCATGGGCTAGGTTGAAAGAGCGGTATGATAATAAGAGGTTGATAATACAAAACCATGTCAAAGCCATTTTTGATTTGCCAGTAGTGAGAAAGGAAAACAGTGTCGCCCTTAGGCAAATTTTAGATGGGGTGCTAAAACATAAGAGAGCGTTACAAACGTTAGATAGGCCTACTGAGCAGTGGGATGATTTGCTTGTACACATCGTAGCTAGCAAGTTGGACATTAGAACGATAAAGGAATGGGAAAATACAATAGATCCTGTTGACATTCCGAGTTTTTCAGGTCTTGTTGAGTTTCTAAAAAGGAGATGTCAAACGTTGGAAGCGGTAGCCAAAACGGTGAATAATAGCGTAGCCGGTGCTAATTCACGCCAGGCTAGTCATCACAAGGTCAATAATTGCAATGTTGCTACAATCAACGCTAAATGTACCTACTGCCAAGGTGAGCATAACATTTATGCATGTAAGGATTTTAAGGGCCTATCAGTTAACGAACGAGTTAAACACACGAAATCCAAGGGTTTATGTTTGAATTGCCTCAGGGGCAAACATCTAGCTAAGGATTGTTATGCCGGGCCTTGTAAAATATGCAGCAAGCGGCATAACTCTCTATTACATAATGATAATCAAAAGGAAAGGTCGGAAGTAAACTCAAAGGTAACGGATGAGAATAAGAATGTTAAGGATACTAGCGACATCGTATGTAGTCATTCGAGTACTGAAATAGCTCAGTCGAGTCAGGTACTACTAGCCACGGCTATGGTAAAAATACAGCATAAGGATGGGCATTTTATAGACGTCAAGGCGTTGTTAGATAACGGTTCCCAAGCTAATTTTGTGTCAGCATCGCTTGCTAAAAAATTAAAACTTGATCCTAAGGACGCACCC